AGGCAGGCGCCCCTCAAACATTTTTTAGAATTCAATTTTATCTGTAGGGTTTTTGACTGTATCTCTTTGTATAGCTTTTTTAGTGGTTGCTCTAGGAATTCCATTATAGGTATTATAGTCAGCTAGTGTCATTTTACCAGTTTGCACAGGGTATAAAAACACTAACTCCCAGGGCGCCTGGGTGGCTCAGTCGTTAAGCATCTACCTTCAGCTCAGGTCATGATCCCAGCATCCTGGGATCGAGCCCCGTATCAGGCTCCCTGCTCAGCGGGAAGCCTGCTTCTCCCTCTCCCACTCCCCCTGCTTGTGTTCCCTCTCTTGCTGTCTCTCTCTGTCAAATAAATAAATAATATCTTTAAAAAACAAACAAACAAAACTAACTCCCTTTATATACCCTTACTCTGCCCTGTTAATGTTTTAATTGTCTTTAATATTTCCAAATCACACTCACCTCAGACAGTGTTACAATAGGACCATATCAGACAGTGTTTGCATTTTTGCTTCCACCATCAAACATAATTTAGAAAACTCAGGAGGAGGAGGAAAGTCTATTATATTTACCCATGGTTTTGCTTACCATGTTCTTCCTATTTAATATCCAAGATTTATTTTATTGTTTCCTTTCTGTTCAAAGAACTTCCTTTAGGTAAGTCAGCTGGCAATAAATTCTCTTCATCTCTCTCATCTGAAAATGTCTTGATTTTCTCTTCCACAGGGGTGGTGATGAATGTCCTGACTCTCTGATCCTACCCAAGCAGGTAAGGAAAGAGGTTTCTCATTACATTGGGGGTGGTTGAGGCCTCCACATATTCTTCACTGACACGACAGGAGTTGGGTAGGGGAGAGACACAGCAGGGGCTCACTGATACCTGGCAAAGATGAAAGTCTAGGCCCCCAACTCAACCTTTGCTGGCATGGGTAAGAGTGAGGTTATGTGTGTTTTGTTTTGTTCTGTGGTGTTGGCTTGAGTAGAATAGTTATTGCCTGAAATTCTTCTGTCAGGCTGCCTCTTTGTGGTCTATTATCTAGAGAGAGCAGAATTTTATTGAGTTTTGTGGTCTGTGCTCATTGGTATTTCTAGGTTACAGCTTTCCCAACACCCAATCTAGTACATATGAGGCCTAAAGAAAATCCAAGGAACTCACAACCATGTCATTATTTGGGTCCTGAGATCTCTAACCTTCTTTTATCCACTCTTTTAGAGTCAGGTAGGTTAGTTTTATATGTAATGGATTAAATAATCCAATCAAAAAGCAGAGATTGTCAGACTGGATATATTTAAAAAAAAAACAAACAAGCTCCCACTATAGGCTGTCTACAGGAGACACATTTTTGATTCAAAAATTTGAACAAGTTGAAAGTAGTATAGAAAAAGATGTGTCATGGTAAAGAGCAACCATAACAAACCAAGAGTGGCTATACTAATATAAGACAAAATAAACTTAAAAAAATTGCTACTAGAAATAAAAATCATTTGGTAATGATAAAAGGGTCAATCTATCGAAAGATTATAGCAATTTTAAGCATATATGCATCTAAAAACAGAGCCCCCAAACACATGAAGCAAAGTGTGACAGATTCAAGGGTAGAAATAGATAGTTCAATGATAATAGTCAGAGATCACAACTCCATACTTTCAGTATTGGATAGAACAACTAGGAATAGAAGACTTGAATAACACCATAAACCAATTAGACCTAACAGACATCTTTTGAACATTCCATCCAATAATAACAAAATACATATTCCCCAGAAGTGCACATGGAGCATTCTCCAGGATAGACACATGCTAGGCTGTCCTAATTCATGCTACAGTATGATAAACCTTGAAAACATTAAGTTAAAGAAGCCAATCACAAAGGACCACATATTGTGGGATTCCATTTGTATGGAATGTCCAGAATAGGCAAATCTACAGAACCAGAAAGTAGATTAGTGGTTGTCTAGGGCTGAAGGAGGAATGGGGGAATTGGAGAGTGATAGCTAAGGGGTATGGGTTTCTTTTTGTAGTAATAAAAATGTTCTAAAATTGATTATAGTGGTGGGTGCACAACTCTGTGAAATACTAAAAACCATTGAGTTGTACACCTTAAGTTGGTAAATTTCATGGTATGTGAATTGTGTCTCAATAAAGCTGTTTTAAAAATGTATGGTTTTACAGTGTCTAACTTCAACATAGTGCTTGAATGCATACACTAACTGAACATTGTTAACAAAACAGACTGAAATCCAAGAGAAAATGCAGGCTGGTTTCTACTTTGATGCATTCACATGTGGGGGAAATGAGGAATCAAACTTCTCAATGGCTGCAGTAGTCAGCCTCTAAGGAGCCCCTAATTGTTTTTGTCTCCTGGTATTCACACTGTTGTATGGTCCCTTCCCAGATTATACCAGGGTTGGTTGTGTGACCAATAGAAAATGGCAGCAATTATGGTATGTCACTTCCACAATTAAGTCACAAGACTTTGTGGTTTCCGTTTGAATTTTTACACTTCAATTGGATAAAAGAAAATAAAAAGAAGCTGCACTGTGGTATTTGGACTCTTTGGACTTCCCCTTCAGTCATTTCTCATTCTTTTGCCTTATTATTTGACTATTCGGAGCAAATAAATACTGATAAACTAATCAGGTGGCCTGATGTTCTATAATACTTTTCAGCATTATGCACTGAGAGCCATTTGGAAGGCTTTGCCTAAAAATTCCATCCAGTGGATTACAATTGATATGTAGAAACCAACCTGTAAAATGAAAGAGAAAAACCTGCTCCTACCGTTACACATGCATGCTTATGTTGATAAAATCATGGATTAGCCTTGTCCAAGACTAATATACCTAATATAATAGGTGGAGAAATTGTACTTTTAATGATATACTTTTTCCAAGAAAAAAAGTGCAAAAGAGTTGAGTAATTCTGGAGGCCTGTTAACTACTTACAGGTAGCAAAGTGTCCACTCCCTTCTCTTCTGTCCCACCCAAGTCCATTTTCACAGTGATCTTAACTACATAAAAGCTAAACAAATATTTACCCAGAAGTAAAACAGTAGTCATGTCAGAGACCATAATAATTCACAGTTAAAGTATTTAACTCATCAAAGGAGATCCTGGTAAAGAAAAGGCCTGAGAAAGGTGTGGTCTACACAATTCCAGATACTCATATGAAATTTTTAAAAAAAGGACAAATATCCATTTACATGTTCTGTATCATATGAATTCAGCAAAAGCCAATGAGCTTCTGAAAGCCCCTACTTGCTTTGCACTATTTGCTCACCTTCAAGTATATGACCTAGTAAGAACAAATAAAGTGTGAGTAATGGGTAGCCACAGTAAATTCTTTTCTACTGGATGTTAGTGATACAGATGTTAATGGTAGATTCATTCTTTAAATCATCTAATAAATATTTATGAGCACTTGTTATCATAGATATGTCTCAAATTTTGGCCCCTCTAACATTTATTACCAAATTTTAAGGCATAACAGGCTATACTTTCAGGAACTTTCCCTAGAAAATTTTACCTTCATAAATGTTATTAATGATTTGGGTCAATTTACATCATACATAAGTCTGAATGCATTTTTTTCAAAGGGGGAAGTAATTTAACCTTACATTTTGTAGTCGAACTACTCTGTAAAAAACAATTCATTTTTGTCCTGCAACATAAAAGAAAGACTTAAAAGACTGTTATTGACAACAGTAATTCTTTTATACAAACTGTTCTGAATCTTACTTCCAAATTTAGAAAAGAACATATATATATACACATATATATAAAAGAACATATATATATACACATATATATATACACACACATTAGGAAATTTATTTCTAATATTAAGCTTATTGTTTTTTAAAGGGTAATTCTGCACTTTGCATATTGTCTTGTATTTTTCTGTCAAGTACTAACCAGCTGTAACTACATATATATTTGAATGGTCTTTGATTTAATGATGATTTTACTGACTACACCTAAACGTCATGTTGAAGATAAGGACCATGACTCAAGATAACCACTGTATCCTTGAGGCTTACACAAGTTCCTGGTATGTAGTTGGTGTTCAAAAAATTTTGGTTGAATGAGTGAATGAATAGAACACCCTAACAGTAGGTAATATTATGGCACAGATCGGTGGTTTAGAAGGATTTGTTCATAATCTAAATGAAATACGTAGAAAAATTTTTAAATGAAGGTGAAAAATATAAATTTGCCTAGGGAGCTATTCCAAGTGTCTTTCTAGTCAGGATGTGCCCTGCCCTTGGCTCTTGAACCTGAGTGTGCAGGTTCATACATGCAAATGAGCTTGTTCTGGCCCTGAGGCAGTGTGAGCCAGGCTGCAAAGTTCATGCTGTGACAGTGAGTCAGCACCATGAACAATACGGACTCACTGCTTACAAGGCAGCCTGTTGGGCTTATCACAAAATGAGTAGTAGCACAGTGGGTTCTAGCTAAAACAGCATGGCCCCCTTCTGTTTATAGTGTCACGCCACTCTTCCATAGAAACTCAACTACTGAGACCAAGCAGCCCCTACTCCAAGCGCTGTAGCACACTAATGAATTTCCTATTATAGAAAGAAGGCTGAAGATCAAGTGGACCATTAGCCACAGCCACAGAAGCTAAGAAGCAGAAAGGAGTTAAGGAACTAAAAGCAGTCTTACATATAAGACATGAGACATGACAAGGACTCAAGTAAAATTCATGGCTTACCTTCCTAGTATACTGGTAGTGTTCATCCTCAAGCCTATAGTCTATCAAGTGCTTAAATTTGGGTGACACATTTAATGGATAATTTCCAATTCTGTTTTTTTGTTAGGATTTAAAAACCTGGTAAGATAGGAAGAACCTCAGGGCAGAGTAATTTGCAGAAGTGTGGGTTAAATTTATGTTTCTGTTCACTCTGTGTTGGATATCACTCCAGTTCAGCTAATAAAATCCCATTTACACATTTTGAATTACAATTTAATATATGAGCAAAAAAAGTAAAAAATAAAAAATAGCAGCTTACCCACACCGAGTTCCATTTGTCACATTCTGGTTAAGGGAGCTGTTGATCCATACTATAGTGTTGTTTACACATGCTTTTCCAGGGATTTTGAGTTCTTGTAATTCAGTGTCATATTCAATAAAAACATCTGTCATTGTGCCAAAAATGAGGAGCACGCCTGGATGGGATAGTCCATGGAGAAATGCACATAAACTTCCCACAAACATCAGCCAAATGTCAGTCGTTGAAGAGAATCGAAACTTGAAAAACAAAGGATTCAGAGATCATCTATGGTGAAAAGCAGGAGAAGTAGGACTATTTAATTTTAGTTACTAGATTCTGATAAATAGCATTCAGCACCAAATTTTATGGGAATCATCTTAGTTGAACAGTAGAGTTTTCACTAATTTTATCAAAATAAATGGTATATCGGGGGACCTGGGTGGCCCAGTTGGTTAAGCGTCTGTCTTTGGCTCAGGTCATGATCCCAGGGTCCTGGGATCAAGCCCCACATCAGTCTCTCTGCTTAGTGGGGAGTCTGCTTCTCCCTCTGTCTCTCCCTCTGATCTCTCTCGCTTTTGCTCTCTCTCAAATAAATAAATAAAATCTTTTTAAAAAAATAAGTTGTATATCAATTATCTAAAACACTAGACTCTTACATTGCTAGTTTATGTTATTTCTTTCCTAGTCTCTGAATTCATTCTCTTTACCTCAAGAACTGACTTCAGGTCTTAGCCATTGATTCACAACTTCAGTGGGAAGTGGTCACTGGCATTGATGCAATAGCTGTGTAGAAATACTGTGTGAAGCATTCAGCAATAGCATAAATTGTATCCCAGAACTGATATTGACAAACAAGAGTGACTATTAGTGCCTAGAAATGCCTCTACCTTGTGAAAATTTGGGGAAAATACCACACTATAGAATTTCCAAAGATATGTCATAAGGATAAATATACATCATATGATTACTGTGCTGATTTTCTTTACTAAAATAATTATGGGCTTAGTGATTATTTTCCAGGACACTTTTCTAATCTATCAGGTAATATTTATGTGTTTAATATTATTTTATTTATTTATTTATTTAGAGGGGGGAGAGAGAGAGTGGGGAGGGACGGAGGGAGAGGGAGAGAGAGAATCTTAAGCAGGCTCTACACCCAGTGTGGAACCCAACACAGGACTCAATCTCACAACCTTGAGATCATGACCTGAGCTGAAATCAAGAGTTGGATGCTTAACTGACTGAGACACCCAGGCGCCCCAGGATTTATATTTAATTACCAATATATTCTAACCATTTAGCATGTTATTACATAGACAAAGTTTATGACTGAAAAAGTGAACCCATACTTAAAAACCTGCCAGTGACTAAAGATTTAACACTCCCTCCATGATCTGAACAATTTACAGTTGCAAAATTTATGTCAAAAATCAGCACAGTTTTATTACCAATTGAAAGAAGCCAACTTGACTGCTGTCACTTTTCCTTTCATCTTGTAACCTGAAGAGAAAAACATATGGATTTATAGACCATTCTTTCCAAAACAAAGAGAAATTCTCCCTAGGTAAGGATTTTATGAGTCATCCTTTAGTGAGAAATAAAAGTCCCCACTGACAGAAATTCTTGCCACACCTAGCATCCTAAAAACAAGCGTATTTTTAAGATTTACCTCTTCCAGAGATTTCAGTATAGCTATATCTCATGTTCAGCAGAGATTCAGTGAAGCTTTTCTGAGAGGTACTGAAAGAAAATAAAAAGTGCTCTGTACTCCCAGTTATACTAACATAAAACTGTTGGACCTCAGCCTTGACCCTTAACCTGTTTCTATTTACATTTCATTGTAATGTAAATTGAGGTGGTTGGATTAGCTGATTTAAAGCTTCCTTCTAGCACTTAAAAATTTTACAACTGGGCGCCTGGGTGGCTCAGTTGGTTGGGCGACTGCCTTTGGCTCAGGTCATGATCCTGGAGTCCCGGGATCAGTCCCGCATCGGGCTCCCTGCTCGGCAGGGAGTCTGCTTCTCCCTCTGACCCTCCTCCCTCTCATGCTCTCTGTCTCTCATTCTCTCTCTCTCAAATAAATAAATAAAATCTTTAAAAAAAAAAATTTTACAATTACATTAAATAGTATTGATATGATGGGAAAGTTTTAAAAACTCCCATACTTCCCATAAAATTGTATTTCCTTAGTATTTCTTACTCATTTCATTTCTCATAAAGTTGTATCTAACCCATCTTTGACTGTCTCAACTCCAGGGATCTCTACTTCACCTGAGTCATCCATTCATGGATACACCCTGAACCTTTCTTTCACCAGAAACTACTCCATTGGCATTCTGGGATGGCCTATGCATCCTGTTTTGTCACTTCCTTCCTCCTTCTACACCTATTTGTCATCTTAGTTGAGGTCTGCAGTCCCTTAAACCCTCATTAATTTACAAATGTTAAAACCCCATCAAGATTGTGCTTTCTTCCCCATGCATCCCAGATCCCACACCAGCCATTTGGACTACATTCTTACCATCATCCTTAATCCTTTTCCCGACTACATCTTTGGAAACTCCATCTCTGCCTCCATGCAGCTGTTTGCCCCGTCCTCCCAAAGCCAGGCTGTGGGGCCTGCTGGAGACAAGCTTTCCATCATGTGAACTGATGCCAACACATGCCATGCCTGACAGTCAGCTGCCCTAAGCTTCCCCTCCAGCTCAGAGTAGAATCCCAAGTCCTTGCTGAGATGCCCAAGGCCCTCCACGGTCCGGCCAATTGGCTCTCTGAACTTGGCTCCTCCTACTGCACTCCAATTCTCAGCACCCGAGCCACTTGGCCTCTTTGCTGACCTTTGTTCAGGTCAAATTTATTCTCACTTCTGACCATTTGCACTTGCTGTTTCCTCTCGCCAGAAAGCTCTTTCTTCAGATACCTGCATGACCAACCCCCTCATCTCCTTCAGACTTTCCCTCATAACTCACCTTCTCAATGGGACCTTCCCTGGCCAAAGCCTTTAAAATTTCAACTTTCTCCCCACATCATTCCGTATCTCCATTCCATGTTTGCTTTTTTTTTTTCTTAGAAAGAAAGTGATAGATTATTACTAGCTACCATGCTATATATCGTATTTATTTATGGTGCATATTATGTCACCCTCACTAAAATGTAAACTCCTCAAGGACAGATGTTTTGACCCATTTTGTTCTTTTCTGTATCCTAAGCCCTTGTAATAGTGCCTGCACCTGGTAGGCACTTAATTAATATTTGTGAAATGAATGGATGAATGAATGAATGAATGAATGAATGAATATTATCTCCAGTCTTAGCTCAATCTACAGCACTGTACTTCATCTGTCTACAGATTGTTCCATTTGCCTCCACAGCTTTCTCAAACTTTCACCATGATCTTCTCATTCTACATTACCACATGTATCAGAAGATGGATCCATCTCCTCTAAAAACTGAAGAATTCACTCAAACTTCCTATTCATTCTCTCATTGCCATTCATCTACACCCACACCTGTTTTCATTTTTTTTCTACCCAGTGAGAAAAGCGTGGTTCTTCTAGGCCCAGGCTGACCCTAGCACTCTACTTACTTAGATTTTCTTATATAATTACTTAGAATTTCCTTTATAACTTCAACCTCTGCCTTCCTACCACCTCTTTCTAGGAACTTGCCTGGTGCCTGCCTTCTGTCTTCTCAGGTTAGACTCTGTCTAGTCCTACATTTATACCAATGTATGATTAACTGACATTTTTATGTGAGAATTTAAACTCTCAAACTAAAGAGAAGTATCTAGTAATTAAATTTTAGGGTTCTTGTATTTGTCTATGGGAAGAATTTGAGGTTTATGGATCTCCCCTGTGCTCATGAAATCATAATTGTTCAACTTTTCCTCTGCCCATTTAGGTTAGAAATTCTGTGGTGTTGCTGGATACACGGAGGAGATTTGGACCCAATACAGAAGGAATATTTCAAAAGGTTTTTGAAATCAATTACAGCAATGTTTTAAAGAGAAAAGGAATGGATTACCCATGCCATTTTATAAGAAGTACAAGATGCATGAAAATATTATCTCTGTTTTGTGCCTTTAAAAGGAATATTAGGGAGCTATTCTAGAAAAGATGATGTATTGTTGAAATAGTCACTTACCTTGAATTCTTATCATTGTTATCTGTCAGGATAAAAACAATGCACAAAGCAGTTAATAATGACACAACAACATAGTCATTAACAATTTTGCTCCAGGAAAACATTCCCATAAATTAGCTTTATTCATGGAACACAGCAAAATGACTATTTGCCTTTCTCTCCTTTTTTTTCATTCTCTCTCTCTCTGTCTCTCATTACACAAGAAAACACTCTGTCAGGTTCAGGACTGCTAGCTTGACTACATTTTTCAATATTTCTACAGGATATGACATATTTGTATTTTCTGAATGTCAACAGGAGACCAGCATTTTTAAATTAGCTGAATAAAATCTAATTTTTTGAACTACTGAGTAAAATAAGTATTTATTGTTTTGTTTCTTAGAAACATGAGAATTTATCTGTTTAAAATTGAGACTACAAATTAACTAGACAGTAAGATGATGTTGACAATCCCATGCCAGGAGAAACCACAGGATTGAGCTGGATATGATTTTCCCCAGCACAGATGGGAGCAAATGGAGGGTAGGCAGTGAAAGTGGGGTACAGGGTCATGGGTGTAGGGAAGAAACAGGGAAAGGAATTTCATGGTGTTAATGTCAACCACCGCCATGGGACAACACATCCTGATTCCCTGGCATTTTAATTAATTTAATTTAAGTAAGAGTAAAGAGACATTATAGCACAGATAGAGATTAAATATCTTGGGTTTAGGAATCAGAACTGGATTAGGATGATGGCTCCATTAATTATTGGTTATGTAATCTTTGCCAAGTTTTAAAAAATTTATTCAAGTCTCATTTTTTCTTCTGTAAGTTGTAAAATCATAGGATTTGTTTAAAAAACTAATAATTGCGGGGCACCTGGGTGGCTCAATCGGTTAAGCGTCCGACTCTTGGTTTCAGCTCAGGTCACGGTCTCAGGATCCGAGATGGAGCCCCCTCAGTTGGGCTTCCCCTCAGCATTCAGTGGGGAGTCTGCTTCCCCTATGTCTTCCCTCTGCCCTTTCCCCTGCTTGGGCACTCTCTCTCCCTCCCTCAAATAAGTAAATAAATCTTTAAAAACTAATAATAATAATAATTGCTTGGAATCACTTGTGCTCACTAGATGTTAGGTACTAATGTATGGGTCCTCTTTCCCATTATCTCATTCTGGCCAGCATAGTCTTGGTAGTTTCTCACTAAATAATTACTACTATAATCAATTACAACAATAGATGGATAAAGGCAATAATAATAACCAGTGCTGGATATTTATAGATGAGATACTTTCATTCACCCACACTTTGTGTGGTTTCTTTTTCCTAGGTTCTTAATTTATTGTACAGGTTGAGTATTACATGATGAGTTGACATTAGCTTCTCCAGGCATGGGAACTTAACAGGTGAGGTACAGTTTAAAATCCGTTTATGCTGCTTTCACAGCTGGTGCTTTTTTAGACCTTAATTTGAAGTATAAGACCATCAAAGCAATGCCTCCATATGTAGCCAGTACATAATTCATTCTACCTGTGAGAGTATAAGAGTTGAAACATGTTTTGATATCAGTGAAATGGAATTGGGCATTAGTTTCTGGACCTGCCATGATTTCAGTCTTGCAAAAGGTACCAATTCCACTGGTGTGTCCTTCAGTGTACGCAGCCACCCCGCATTCACCCACACTTCATGTGTTTTTACCTGTCATTTTCAAACATTCCATTACATTGATTCTGGAGCGAACCACCCATTTGTGGGTAAGAAATGCATCCAGTAATTGTTCTCCATATTATTGTTGGTTTTCTTCTGCCCCTTGAAAGTTCACTAGCTTGTCTAACCTCTTTTTATGTAAGAGACAGTAAGAGAAAAAGTCCACTTACGGAAGCTTTCTGACTCTAAACCATAATTGTCCTCTCCAAATTTCTTCACACTGCAAAGAATTACTGAGTCAGACATGGTGACTGCAATCTGCAGTCAATAACCCTATAAAATAAAATAACCATTGTAATTATTTATTTTCTCTTCTTTAAACAAAGTAGTCAAATGAAAGAACAGTTTGGTGCAAGAAATAACTTTCACTAACAATTTCAATCTTCACTAAAAAGCAGATTTTTTAATTGGTCAATAACTCCATGAAAGAGTCAATTATTAAGAAAGATAAAGCCAAACCATTGATTATGGCTTTCTCTAGTTGATGAATGGATAGTTACTTTTTATTTGTTTGTCCTTTCTGCTTGTCTATCCTTCTATCCTTCTTTCCATCCTTCCTTCCATCCCTCCTTCCTTCCATACTTCCTTCCTTCCTTCCTTTCATGAGTAAAAATAAAAACCACTAGAGCAGCACAACCAACTGGTGACACTCTTGGGTCAGTGTCTGGAAGGACAACACTTAACACTGGTGAGTAGCCTGCAGTGCTCCTTTGTAAATGCATCTTCAAGATCGAGGATATGGTAAGTCCAGCGTGGACCAGGGGAAGAGCTACTCACTCATTTTCTAAAACAAGTTTAACCTTGGCATCAAAACAAACAAGAATGTTATAAGAAAAAATAGAATTATAATTACTTTTTGAAAATAGATTTAAAATTGCTACATACGTTAAGTATAATTCAGCAGTTCATGAACAAAATATAATGAGCAATGTTGATCCCAGGAACGCAATAATCATTTACTAAAAAATATGATCATTTTGATAGATGCAGAAAAGGTATTCAATAAAAATCAATATCCATTACTGATTTCTAAAACCCCATAAAATTAGAGAAATCATTATCTACAACTCCAATGAATAGATTTTGGGTAATGATCAGCAACGAATACTAAGACCATTAACTGAAATCCTGGCGAAGATTCAGTATCTAGTAGTACAAAGTATTGCAAAGATGTAGAGGGAAACATTATATTAAGTCATTATATCTCCTTAAGCTCCTCTTGGCTCCCACCATTTCTCATACTTTCCTTGTTTTTGATGACCTTGACAGTTTTGAGGAGTATTGAGCAGTTATTTTGCAGAATGTCCCCTAAAATGGGACTGATATTTTTCTCAGGACTTTTCTCAGGATTAGACAGGGGTTGTATATTTTGGGGAGGAAAACCACAGAGGTCAAGTACCCTTCTCATTACATCTTATCAAAGGTACTATCAACATAATAGTACCAATCAACATGATTTATAAAAAATAAATTTTAAAAAATAAAGTCAATATTAAGAAGTAGAGTGAGAAACATCATTTCATTAAGCAATTTAGGAGGTCAGTAAATTTTTAAAAAGTACATCAACTAGATTCAAAATTCTTTTATTTAACAACAAAATTTATTCACTATAGCAGTATTACATTCAGAGAATGCAATGCTCACAGGTTATATCATTTTTGAAATTTTAACCAAAAATTTATCTTTCAAAAGGAAAAAAAATACTTGGATAATGAGAAAATAAGAATACTTTAACAATAGTTGTAATATTACATCTAATTTTAAAATAACACTTTTTTTAAAAAAATTCAGTATTCAATGGTTTTTTTTCCTGGCTTAGCTCTTCATTTAAAAAGGTTTCTTTCCACTGGTGTGCAAATATTTGGCAGCACTTAGAGACCGGTGGTGTAGTATCTTGTCCATGAACTTCAGAGTCTCGCAGATCCTCTGGCTTCTCTCCATGTTGTTGCATATGTTTTTTAACCTCTCTCCAGGCCCTGTTCTCCATCATTCAAGTCAGTGGTGGTGACGGTGATAAAATCTGCCTTGCAGGACTAGTGTGAGAATGACATGAAACTGTGTCTGCACATCAGTTGGCACAAAGGGAGAAAACAGCTAACATTCCTTTTGGCCTCCAAGCTTACAAACTGTCTTCCTACCCACCCCCTCTGGGGTCACTTGCAGTAAGCCACCCTCTATCAAGGAGGAGAATGATGATCAACCAACCTACTCTCTTCATTTCCTCTGTCTGTGCCCTCAGCAATTCTGTACAGTTGTTTTCACATTGGGTTTGCTTACATTTCACTTCTTTCAGAATGCAGTGATTTTTGGGATCTCTATTTTACTATTAAAGAGTAATATGCTCAAACACAAAAATTCATCTATAACATGGATTTCCTGAAAAACAAACTGAGGGTTCTAGAGGGGAGGGGGTGGAGGATGGGTTGGCCTGGTGGTGGGTATTGAGGAGGGCACGTTCTGCATGGAGCACTGGGTGTTATGCACAAACAATGAATCATGGAACACTTCATCTAGAACTAATGATGTAATGTATGGGGATTAACATAAGAATAAAAAAAATAAATAAATAACATGGATTTCCATCCCCTAGCATTGACAGTGCCCTTCAGCCAAAGACCACCGGGAGCACAACTGTAGTTGAACAATCTGGATTTATTACTTATTTCAGTGAGGAAGAACATGTGGTGGAGATCATGGGGGCCTCAGTAAGAGGGTGTTAGAAAGAATATCTTTATAGGACTTGAGCTTCAGTTAGGTGATTTGGGAGAGGATCCAAGAAAGTGGGGGTTTGCTCCAGATTGGATGCTGTCAGAAAGCCAGAGATAAAATGAAACAAAGCAAGGCCAGTCCATAGTTTTGCCCAAGCACAGGCAAAAACAAGGTCATTATGCAACCCCCCAAAATACCAAACATCCCTCTGTCTTGCTATGAGTGACTATTTAGGCACCCAATCATGAAATTGCTCTTGCTTATGATATTTTCCAGGAAAGGCGATGTTTCCAGATGTTAGGTGAATTGCCTCATATCATTATAAGCATAGAATGAAATTCTGGTATATCATTAGACCATGTGTTCTTCCACTGGTTAATTCCCTTTTTATTAGATGAGATCCTGGGAAACATAGCAGATGCTGGAAAGTATCTCCGATAGTTTCTGAAACCCTGGGAACAGAGTGGGAATCTAGTTTTCAGTGATAAACAGGTTTGTTTCACAGGGTTGCAAGAGTGTGTCTCCTCCTCACCAGGTACATTCCACGATTTAAGCATGCTATGGTGTTTTGTCACATCATTTCCCCATCAATATCAGCAGGTGTAATGTCATCTAATTCTACTCTCTCGGCTGTTATCTATAGTACCTAAGCTAACAATTTTGTTCTTGAGCTTCCTAAAGTGTGTGAAGGCTTCTTGGGTATCACACATTGCAGGAAGCTTTAATTAAGTTTTCCCAACAATTTACAGTAACAAAATTTTACTTTAACCACACAAAAGAACTCAGAATTGAAAATAAGGTACCATGCTATTTTCTTTTCACTCTGCCTTTTCATAAAGTAAATGATTTTAATCTGCAAAAAATCTCTTTGGAAACAGATTGAGAATTTTCAAGTCTTCCATGAAGATGGTCTTTCAATAAACTTAGAAAATCTAGGAGTTGAAAGCCAGAAATCAAGATTTCTAAGCACTGACTAGCAGACTTTGGCCACCTAATTGTGGAATCCCCCAAGAATTTTTAATTGTCCATGCCAGCACCACCGTCCCTCTCTGCTAAATGGCATGTGGTCTATGTGCAGACTATCTGTACTTCTGTTTAACTATCCAGGGTTGAAGTTTACTTTTCTTTGATAAGATGTGTAATCTTATCAACACAGAGGACAGTCTCCTGACCTTTACTGGTAGACACATCACAGATAATTCTACTTTAGAACACTTGCAACAATATTCTGGAAGACCACTACTGGGGAGGAGAGAGAGAAGTCAGAAAGTAACACCTGGATGGGTTGCCTGACAGAACCTAGCACACAGACAAACCTCAGAAAGGGGATAAATAAGCAGTTCCATGGAGGACTTGAGGCTGTCAAAACTAGATGAGATAAAGTTCTATAAGCCATGTCAGGGACAAACCAAAAATCCAAAGAATATAAAATGTCAGTGTCCACCTTGGACCATTACATCAAGGCTGTTAAGTGTGACTTCAAGACACCAGTCTGGCTATTGATGCTGCAGGAGAGCTGAAAAAGAGAAAGAAGAAGAAAGAAAGAAAGAAAGAAAGAAAGAAAGAAAGAAAGAAAGAAAGAAAGAAAGAAAGAAAGAAAAGAAGAAAGAGAGAAAGAAAGAAAAGAAGAAGAAAGAAAGAGAAAGAAAGAAAGAAAAAGAAAGAAAGAAGGGGGAAGGAGGGAAGGAGG